TACAGGCATAGTTGTAGACATTGAAGGCCAAATTTTGACTACCATTGAAGATAAATTACGAAGATGGAAAGAATATATGCAAGAATTATTCGAAGATGCAGCACGAAGTCCGACTGAAATAAACAATCCCTACGGCCCAGAAATAACAAACGAAGAAGTAACTATGGCCATTAAGCGGATTAAAGATGGAAATCACCAGGACCTGATGAGGTGCATGGTGAAATTTTAAAGCTATTAGAGTCACACCAAATCACAGCTCTTACGAAGCTATTCAACAACATCTACGAGACTGGTTACTTACCAAAAGACTGGCTACTATCAATATTCATTCCACTTCCTAAAAAAGCCAACGCTAGAAAATGTGAAGAACATATAGGGGAAAGTTGCCTAAATCGTACCGCCTCCTTAATCGTACCACCTCTATTATACTGCTTTATAGATACGCTAGAGCTCCCTGACAGTGTAATTGTGTACTACAAGAAGAATCCGGCGAGTTTCAACAGAGTTGTGCATGTTCGCGCCATTCTGCGTTGACTTATTACAGTTATTGTGTTTTTGAACGTGTGCTTGTAGTTTTCGTGCATCCTACGTAAGCTCACATCTTTTTTAAAGGTAGGTGTAATATAATTTTATCAACACATTTGTATAATACACTTAATCTAGTATCTAAAAACCAATAGGTTAAGGCAAACAGTTTTATTTTTAGGTTATAAATTGCAAATGTTTATGAAAAGAAAGAGTTGCCTTGATCGTACCTTGTGACTTTTCCTTGATCGTACCGGTACGATCAAAGACACCCTGTCCTGTCACTTATGGAATAAAATTATCTCTGTCCTTGTTTTAAAAAATCATTAAAAATTCCGAGACATGTTGATTTTTAAATATAAATGTGCACTTTTTAAACATAAATTTAAATGTACAGGGTGATTAACGCAAGCCTAGTACAGACCATAAGCTTTATTTTTTATGGAACACCCTGAATATGTTTATATTTTTAAAAGCTGCTTAACCTGATTTCAACGAACTATATCATGCAGTGTAGGTTTCTTATGAATAATACAGGATGAAATTTTGAAATTATAACGTATGGAAACCACTATGGAATAAACTTATTTGTATCTTTATTTTACAAAACTGTAAAAAGGCTAGTATGGATCAACTTTTAATTCTCAGCGTTTTTTATACTTTTTTGAAATAAGAACAGAAATAATTTTATTTCGTAAGTGCCTTCCACACTGTATACAATTACCTACTTATTTTTCAACTAACAGGAGCAATGACAACCTAATACACTTGTGTTTTTGTGTTTTAGATGGCAAAAAGGACATATGGGTCATGGAGCGAGGACGATATGAAGCGGGCTCTTCAAGCTTACCGTAATGGTGATGTTGGATTTAATGAATGCTGCCGTCGGTATGGCATACCAAAGCCAACTTTCAACCGACATCTTAAAGGAAGAAATGTTGCTGCCAATGAAGCCATAAAAATCATTGGTCGGTTGTCTATCTTACCAGTGGACATAGAAAATGATCTTCTAGATCATATTTTTAAGCTAGAAAGCTTAATGTTTGGACTTACAATCACGGACGTAAGACGGTTGGCATATCAAATTGCTGAGAAAAAAAATATTTCCCATAACTTCAATACTCAAACTCAATTGGCTGGTAAGAAATGGTTTTACTCTTTTAAACAGCGACATCCTGAACTTGCTTTGAGAGATCCCCATGCTACATCTTTATTACGGCTGAAAGGGTTCAACAAAGAAAATGTTTATGAGTTTTTTGACATCCTACAGAAGCTTGTTGAAGAAAACAAAGTCGATGCCACACGAATTTACAATGTTGATGAGTCAGGACTTTCTACTGTTAAAACCTTATGGTCAAAAAATACTTGCCAGAAAAGGTAAAAAACAGGTAGGTTCAATCTCAAGTGGCGAGCGTGGTGTCAACACTACTATGGTATGCTGTACCAGCGCATCCGGAAACTTTGTTCCACCTATGCTTATTTTTAAGCGTATGAGAATGACGCCTGAGCTTAAAGTTGGAGCTCCACCTGGAGGGTTGGTAGACATATCTGAGTCCGGGTATATAACCATTGAGCTGTTTATAAAGTGGCTGACACATTTTGTTGAAATTGTAAAACCAACTCCAGAGAAAAAAGTTATTCTTGTGTTGGATGGGCACACAACTCATTCCAAAAATCTTGATGCCATTGAATATGCCAGGAATCATGGTGTTATATTGTTACAACTTCTCGGACATACAACACATCGACTTCAGCCTCTAGACAGAAGCTTTTTCAGCCCTTAAAGACCTACTTTAATCAAGCAGTTGAAAAGTGGCTGAGAACTAATCCTGGGCTATGTGTCACACAATATCAAATCTCTGGATTAGCTACAGAGGCATATGGCAAGGCTGCAACTATTGAAAATGCAGTCAGTGGTTTTCGTGTCAGTGGTGTATGGCCAGTAGACCGTACTGTCTTTAAAGATAGTGACTTTGCAGCGGCTGATAATCTAAATCAGAATGACACCGAAAACGTCAAAAGAGAACTACTGGAAGAACATGCAGACGATCCTGTTGAAATTAACGGTCCCTTGATCCAAAGCTTAAGCAACAGTGATACTGAGTTACCAATAGATAGGCCTAATAGTGAAACAGCTAAGGCTGCTAATGTAGGCTTAACTTGCCCTAAGATCAACATTTCAATTGACACTATATCTCCTATTCCGAAACCACACACTAAATCAAAGAAGGCTTCGGGGATTCAAAAAGCTGCCGTGTTGACAAGCAGTCCATACAAAACTAAACTTGAGATGGCCAGTGAACTGAAAATGGCGATGGAGAAAGTAAAAGAACTTAAAGAGAAATTGGGAAAGAATGTAAAACCGAAAGGTTATGTTAAAAAAGAGAAACTTTGCCAAGTTAAGAAAACAAATAAAAAGATCGTGAGAGAGAAAAAAGAAATTGCCAAGAAAAATCTTGCGGTAGAAATGTCAAACATGTCTTCAAAAAAAGAATTACTAAATATGGCCTCCACTTCACGTGCTCCTGATGTATTAATTGACATTGACAGGGAAGAGTGGTATTGTTCTTTGTGCGAAAGTAATACAGTAGAAGACATGATTCAATGTCAGAATTGTCGTTTTTGGTTTCATGAATCATGCGCCGGCATTAAACCTGGACTTAAATCGTTCTTCTGTGTCGATTGTAAATAACTATTGAGAAAGTGTATTATTCAGGTTTTGTTTTAATGTTTTATTAACTCTTTGTTACTTACAATTGTAATAAAATCATGTTTTATTTTAATGTATGGTTGAAATAAAATCCCTGAACAATCACCATAAGACTAACATTGAGTACGATCAAGGAAACCTATGGTACGATTTAGGAAACTAGTTTCCTAATTCGTACCACTTGTAAGCTTTCCGAAAATAATATTTTTTTTTGTACTATATGAAGTTATACGACCATAGAAAAAATAGTTTAGGTTGCCAAATAAGTCAACTTTATTGTTGCATTGTGTAAAACCTAATTGTTCATTATTTAATGAAAATAAAAAATGAAATTTAAAAAGTGGTACGATCCAGGCAACTTTCCCCTATTAATTAGTTGGATGAGCCATGTATTTAAAGTACTCGTTACTATCATTCACTCGCGCATATACACCAAATTAGAAGAACAAGTGAGTGAAGTTAAATTTGGATTCACAGCAGGACACGGAACAAGAGAAGCACTTTTTGGTTTGCAAGTTCTAATACAGAGAGCCAGGGATGTCAACATTGTCAACTGTGATGTGTATGTATATTTCATTGATTTCGAGAAAGTATTTGCTAAAGTCCAACATGGGAAACTAATCAATATCCTACAAACATCAGGACTGGTGGTCACCGGCACTATTTAACATATACTCTAATAACATCTTTAGAGAGGCTTTGGAGGAATCAGAAGATGGTATTGCTGTAAATGGCCAACTTATAAACAACATTAGATATGCAGATGACACAGTGTTGCTGGCAGATCGTGCACAGGGCTCCAAAGGATGATGGATAACGTTGTAGAAACAGTAACAAATACGGCCTAAAACTAAATTGCAAGAAGACAAAAATAATGATCATTAGTAAGAACACCGGCATAAACGCCCAAATTACAATTAACGATACACCGTTAGAAACAGTGGAAAAAATATGCTATTTGGGCTGCAATATTAAGGATACTTGGGATCACAGCTACGAAATAAAAACTCGTATTGAAAAAGCCAGAAGCTCTTTTAACAGCCTTAGGAAGATTCTCTACAACTTATCTTTCTTAGATGTTACGGCTATGGAGTAGAAGCTTGAGCCTTACAGAATATGCCAAGATTAGATGCATTTGAAATGTGGTGCTACCGACGAATGTTGAGGGTCTCATATATACACCACACAAGTACCAAGTAACATAACTATTCTCCAGAGTCTAAGAAAAGGCAAAGAAATTATTAACACCATAAAAACCAGAAAATTGGCTTACAGTTGATTCTACAGAGCAAGATTGAAGGTAAGAGGGCCCTGGACGTAGACGTATATTCTGGCTAGCCAATCTTAACGTCAACTAATCTATTTCGAGCTGCTGTTAATAAAATAAGATGGGTCAATGTGGTCGCCAACATCTCTAGAAGGAACATTTAGAAGAAGTGTCATTCATGACATAAAAAAGTTTTTTACGCTATTTACACCTTTTTTTACTTTTATAAGATTTAATAACATAATAATGCAAGCCCCTCCCACTATGTTGACATTTGATAATTAAAAAACACACTTTTAAAATTTTGTGGCTTTCTTGGAGGAGATAAACGATAAATTTCATCGGCAAATAAAAGATTAGATTAACTTTGACCAGAAAATATTTCAGTACAAAACAATGTACGGAGGTTTTTCCAGACTCTTCTATTTTTACCATTAAATTAATGGAAGCCCCTTACTGTGATTCAAATAATTTAATCAATCAATGCACTTAACTTACATATTCGTTATCCGTGGTGAATCTATCCAGTTCTAATTGCAGTTCCTGTAGGCTGAAACTTAAGCCTTTCGTCAATCTCTTTTTCGGATGATACAAAGCCATTTAAACACTAACAACACAACGAGACGAACTAAAATTATTAGAAGAACACGTCATACAATTAAAGGAAGCCTCTGAAACGCCTCAACCACTACGTAAAACTAACTTGAACTGGAGATTATATTATGAATTACTGAAAATAGCGGAAACGAAACCAACATTAACTAAAGATAAATTAATTATTAATATTATTTTGTTAACATAAGAAATACTAATATTGTACAGGGTATTATTAGACCAGGGAACTAAGTAATTGTTTATCAATATGCGAGCGGTTTAGCCCTACAGTACATTCAACCAACTTACACCTCTAAATAATTCACGGAAAACCTTACGTTGTAGTAAAAGGCACATTTTGTTAAATTTTAGGTATAAAATAAATATATGTGTCATTAGCCCGTTGTTCATAGTTTTGCATATTTTGTTACATTTTTTTTTTAATAAATACGAGGGTGGATTGATATAAAACTAGCCTTTGATAGAAAAAACAAATTTTTTGGAATTAAATCGATTTATTTCTCAACATAGTCCCCTTTTAGCTCGATACACTTAGTAAGACGATGTTCAAATTTTTTTATTCCATCCGAATAGTACATTTGCTCGAGCTCTTCAATATAGGCCGAAGTTTCAGCGACAATTTCATCATTTGTTGCGAAACGCAAAGAGATCGAAAGAGAAGTGAAGACATAGAAGAAAATGTAACGTAGAGTCTAAACATGAATGGACACAAAAAGGAATGGAATAACCACAAAAGCAGAATATAGGAGACCCGTGTCGTCAAAATAGCAAGATATACGTCACCAATTGACAGAAGTATGCGATGACTGCGCAAAAGATAGAGTGACAACCTTCCATAAAGGTATTAATCCGCCAATGAACAAGCAAGCAGAATTGCTTTCCATTCAAGTCAACCTTCAAGTCAATGTATGTTATGTATATTACTGTAAATCGCAAGATTGATACTCACGTCTCGATATTTCGCGTCACGCTAAGTATTATTTCGGGCCCATCAAAAACATCTTATCAAGCAAAAAAGAAGTATTCATTTCAAAAATTTAGATGAATTTGCATAACTTTTGGTATTCTACCAATACAGAATCTAAAACAATTGATTTATAGTAGTTACAGTGACTGTCAAAACAACACTGTACTTTTTCTCATTTCCCTGGGCTATATCAATAAATAACGATGTTTGGTAGAGTCAAAAAAAGAAAGACCACTTTTTGTTACTTCAGTGTTTCTAGTTTAAGTAGTAAACACGGCAATCGACGAAATAAAAAGATGCATAGCAATAGCAAACAGAACTGTACACGGTCTCTAGAAACATTTAAAAAATAAAAATATTAAACGTGCAGTAAAGTTTCAATATACACAAGACCTTAATAAGACCGGTTTTGATATAATAAGGCTGAAACGTAGACTTTAACTCAAAATGATGAAGGACTTCTTGGCATTTTTGAGAGAAAAATTCTTGGACAGATTTTTGGGGCCGTAAATGAAAATGGGCTATGGCGTCGAAGATACAACTTTGAACTTTGAAAAAGACCTGCAGATTCTAAGGGTCAGAAGATGAACAGAAGTTGCAAGGAATCGACAGGGGTGGCGACTTCTTTGTGAGCAGGCCAAGATCCACAACGGATCGTCAAGCCACTTATGATGATGAATATTTATCTTTTACTTTTTTAACATTTTTTGGTTGGTCATAATTTCGTATTTGCCGCTCAAAATAATAGTGCCCCACTCATACTTTTACTCACGAGCAACCACTGATATAAATAAATTTGATTTGCTTCCAATAAGCCAATACATGATAAAAACAAAAAGAGGAAATCATACGATTTCTACCTGGCGAAATCGAATTCAAATATAAGCCGCCGTGCTCCCTAAAACTTGCGAAGCAAACAGCTTGATGAATGAATCGGCAAGGGAGTCTAAAAATTGCACTCCAAATGCCGTTCATCATGGCCTATATTCGTAGTGAATTCGATTTCTGGTACTCCAAATGAAGTAAATAAACAAAACAAAATGACGGTATTAGATTTTGATTTGGTACAGAGCAGCAACAAGCCGCATATACGTATTTCGATCTCTTTAGATCTCCTCATATCTCTCCTTGTTTATTTACTTCATTTGGAGTACCAGAATTCACTACAATATAGGACATGATGAACGGCATTTGGAGTGCAATTTTTAGACTCCCTTGCCGATTCATTCATCAAGGTGTTTGCTTCGCAAGTTTTAGGGAGCACGTCGGCTTATATTTGAATTCGATTTCGCCAGGTAGAAATCGTATGATTTCTCTTTTTGTTCTTAGATGGCGTAGTTACGTCCGTAAATAGTTATTTTTAATAACTATAATCTACGACGGGAAAATATTTTGGTTTGATATGGAGTAGTAACTATACCGTACTGAGGAGATCTAAAGAGATCGAAATACGTATATGCGGCTTGTTGCTGCTCTGTATCAAATCAAAATCTAATACCGTCATTTTGTTTTCCAATACATGATGTTTGCTTTTTTTCTCCAAGTACGACTCTCTCCAAGAAGAGTATTGCTACGTAGTTTTTAATACACAACAATATCCAACAGCATTTTTATATTTTATTAATATTATAACACAATACGATTGCCCAATAGCCGTCTAGTATTATTATAAATGTCCTCTAAAGAAATAACTTACATAATTCATAAATATATTACAAAAAAACGAGATGATGTGTGAAAATCGTCGACTAGTTGCTAAATCTGATATGCTAATTAATCTAATAAAGCCACTTTCCTTCTAAACTAGCGGTTTAAAAAGATAATAGCGATGTGGGCAACAGAAAATTCTCACAAATTATGCGAAAGAAGATAATTTTTCGCGTACAGTTAGTTCAGCGAGTTTAACTGTTTTGAACTAATATAACTGAACTGAATTCCTCGGATGGGTTATTATTATTAAGTGAAAAATTCCTCTTCTCTGGAGTCGTGAAATATACGAGGATGTATTCAAAGTAATTTCGGACATTTAACTATGCATTCCTTTCTCCCAAAAAGATCAATATCAGTATTGTGAAAAATATAAAAATTCGGGCAATGAAGAAAAAATCCTCAGAAAGATCTTCGGTCCCTATCACGATCCGAATACTAACCAATACTGAATGAGAACAAATGCCGAGGTCAAACAAATGTATAGTGCTAGCGACGTAGTCCAAGAGATTAAATCCCAACGTCTAAGATGGGCTGGCCATGTTCATAGGCTCCCTAATAACCGCCTTACCAAGTTAATCTGGGAAGAAGTCCCGACAGGGAGAAGGCCCTTAGGACGTCCACGAATGCGATGGAGAGATAATATATGGTCAGATTTGAGAACAATGGGGCTACCCACTGACTTAAACATCATGGACGACCGTTCGAGATGGAAGCAGGTTGTGCAGTCAGCCAAGACCCACTCCGGGTTGTAGTGCTACCAGAAGAAGAAGAAGAAGAAAAAATAGCCATAGAAGATGCTTATAATAACCACCATAAGAAGTGAAATTTAAGCCGGGAGCTAAAAATACTTGACAAAGAGAATGCAACTTTCAAAAAGTTGCTTATTTTGACGTATATGCTGCTCTACCGACATCAAAAGAAGACTTTCTGCTTTCTATTAGAAATCTAAGCTGTCAACATAACATTTCTATATATGTGAACTTCAATAACAGTGACTGTGAAATGTGCACAGCAATGTTTCGTAAGAAGGAGAATGCAGTTAAGTTCCCTCTCCCAAAAACACATAATAAAGAAAATGTCCACCTCAACATCTAATCACTTCTTCACAGCGACGAGGCATTCTTAAAATTAAGCACCGTATTTGATATTGATCAAATGCATTCCAAACTTCTCTAACCACAACTTGTATGTCGTCAAAAGAGACAGGTGGTCTTTGATTGTCGGCTTCTGAGTTGGCGATCAATGATATCCCGTAAATCTTTTATGGGACTTAAATCAGGGCTACATGGTGGTCAGTTCATGGTTGGTATTTCAACCTCGTTCAAATAATCACAGACCACACGTGCAACATGTGATGGAGTGTTATCATGCATTAATAGACAAATATTTCCTATATAAGGAGCAAATGGAACTATATGGTTAGACAAAGAAATTGGTTCGTGCCTGCTGATGTATTTGGAACAAACATTTATAAAAACCGATTTTGACGGTTTCAAATTCAGATTTTACTCAGACAATTGTGGAGGCCAATGAAAAAAAAAGTACCTAATTACAATGTATCACTACGCTATAACTCATTTCAAATTTTCTTCTATAACTCATCGCTATTTAGTTGTTGGTCATACTCAAAATGAGGGTGACAGCTACCATTCTTTAATAATAAGAAATATCACTACAGCTTTAAAAGGAGGGCCTATTTATCTGTATGATATAACACAAGTTATATCATAATGATTATTTTTACCAAAAAAGTTAAACTCTAAAACAACGACAATTTTAAATGAAGATTTCAAAGGAAATAGTTTTTAATATTGTTTTGAAGCTATTTTCTTGTGGCATTTTAAATTAATTACTATTAAAATGGGAATAAGCCACAATTAAAGGTTAAAGTACGTTTATTGACGTTTCAATTTCCACTTTGGAAATCGTTCTCAAAATACAAACATTAGTAAATTAAACAAATTTTGTTTTTTGTTACTATGAAAATATTCTAAAATTAATTTTATCTGACTCATTTATATTGACAATTCAGACATACATTATACATTTTAAAGTAGACACTTTAAAATGATATTGCCAATATTGTTGAGTTGCGCTCCTGGGACGACTTTACTTATAAGATAGTTCATTCGATTACATGAAATCAACTTTAACTTGAGAATATCTGTCAGAAAAAATCATAGCATGTAATTCGTCTTTAAAAAGACAAACACATGCCATGATGACAGTAAAATTCTCCTGTTAGTGATTCCATAGTCAATTATGAGGGAAAAACAGGAAAAACATTGTTTAACAAGTTATCAGAGAGGATTAATTACAC